TCCTCCTCCTCCTCCTCCTCCTCCTCCTCCTCCAACTCATCTGTTACGAGGGGTATGAGCTCTGGTGTTTCCGTCCCCTCTGCATTAGTCGAGAACTCATCTATTACGGCCGTAGGCTGCCCTGGTGCGTCCATCCCCTCTGCATTAGTCGATAACTCATCTATTACGGCCGTAGGCTGCTCTGGTGCGTCCCCCTTCTTCTCTAGCGGTCCCGCAGAAATGTTAGCGGGAATACATAGAAGGAGCAAGACGACTATCGCGATACTGCTCATCATGATGGAACGATTTCTCTGTCGGTGGCTGAACACTGCGGCAGACGCCACCGGCAGGCGGTTATATCGGCCGACGCGTTGATGCCAGATGTCGGATATCGTCGGCGAATTATGCAAGCGACGATAACACCTTTCGAGCGATAGAACGCAGGCGTCAAATCGGTGGAGTTATGGCTCGTTAATCGGCTAACGTGTTGCAATTAAAATCCCATTAGAAACATTTGGCCTTGTTGAGAATGTTTCGGCGATTACCTTACTCATACATTAGATCTGATGGTTAACCTACGGGTGACTTTGAGTCATGTTATTGCTTAAAATGAGACTACGAAAAAAAAGTGTTCGAATCACAAACTCCTGTTGCGGACACAAATAGGAGTTTAATACCAATGATGATAAAATGAGACGAGATGTAACTGATTTTCATAGATTGCATATATATATATATATATATATATATATATATATATTGTAAGGGTGTTATTCGCACTACCGCCATAGAAATTCTGGAATAGACTGACAGAGAGATAAGACAAGACAAGAGTAACGTTCACTAGTGTTTTACTAAATCTCTAATACAATACATGAAGTCTCAGTGTACTAAAATAGCGTTTCTACTACATAGTAGGCCTACCCGTATCACGCACTTACACCTTGTCTCAACGGGTGTCTTAATTGTACAAAGAGCCCCAATGAGCGGCTGCTCCCTCTATTTATACGGCGTTCCTTCTTCTACGTCACCTCTCGCTTTAGCTCCCTTCTGGCTAACCGGCCGTACTAAATAAGGTGAGGTTAGTATTACAACTGCTATACATTACACTACCGAATATGGTGAGGGTGCGTATTTCCCTTTGGCTCAGATCCATAGTCTGATTCTGGCCCCTGGTGTCATGAATCATCTGGTCGGTGTCTAGTCTGTCACAATCTGCAAGAACTCGGGGAACCTTAGCCGTGGGTTCCGCTTATTGCGTTCTCTCCCGCGTTTTCGGCTCCTTGTTCTGGAGACCGCTCACAGCCTATTGTGACACCTCTAGCGACACAGAGGCGACAAGATTGCGTTTCCCGCATCGCCCTCGCTTTCCGTGGCGTGTGGGCTTCGCCCCCTTACAATATATATGGGCATACAGTATTCACAACATGAATATATATAGCTAAGCATGGAACCATGTATACATATTCGTGGAACGCGAGTTGGCATAGGCTAAGGACAACTCGTGCCCTCGACAAAATTATATATTTATATATATATATATATATATATATATATAATTATATAATACTATTTATAACTACGTGCTAGTATACTACGGTAATACTGCGGAATATGGTAGTGTTACCGTACGTACTTACATATTTTTAGGGTCAAGTGTCATAAATGTGTTCCGTGTAATAAAACATTTCATCTAAATTTGGTTGCCGAAAATTTACGGCGTACCTTCTCTTTGTATACGGTGTAGCGGTCTGAGGTCGTTGTGAATAACTGCTCTTGAAATAGATAACATGTACCTGAGTGTATAATAAAAGGGGGTATTGATTAAACACCCTAATTTCATTAAAAAAAGTGCACGTGTAGATCAAACTGCCCATGTTAGTTTATATAACCCGGGTTGTCGTAACGGGGGGTAGTAACTGTGAGTGCAATCTGTGGCAGAACGCCACACGCCCTTCCCTCGCCTACGTCTTTTCTCTGTACTGAAAGCGTTACCCGTGTCATTAAGGTATGTTAACAGGCGGTTATAGGAGTCTAAGTGACCTCATATACACATGGCAACAGCGGACTACGGTCTCTATTGCATAACCATCGCGATACAATGAACAGCTAATAGTATAAAAAAAATATAGATGATAATAATTATATATAATTATAATCATCCTTGAGGTTTACCGAGAGAAACGTGGCTTGCGCGTATGGTGAAGAGGGCTAGAAGGCTCGCCATTTGCCTTCGTTGACATCACACGCCGAATTCAATATATTTATATTGCGAATTCGACCTATTTTAAAAATCTACGGTATGCACTATGAGCAATAACATTTACCATACTGTTTTTTAATTAAAAAATACCGCTTTTGCTAAAAGTAAATGTCAACATATAATCTCGTCGCGCTTGGAAAATTGAAACAACCCGAACAACGAAAATGTATGTAAAGCGCTAATGATTTGTTTGTCGACAGTATATCGGAGACGAAAAGTTAAATTAGGAGCATGACGTAGGTATATTGTAAGTCTAGACTTGCGCCCCGACAACGGATTCGCGTGTGACTAACCACACCATTATGGGCGCCGTATAGGCAACGCTCGCAGTGATATCTAAAGACTTTCGTATTAAACCAGGAACACTGCCCCCTGTAGCGCGTGGGCTTCGAGTAAATATTTGCCTTAGCTTACTCGCTCGGTGTGAGCAGGCGGTGTAAAGTACAAATCAGCGTCTGGCGGTTCGGACACGCGCGTGCATGGTGCTCGCTTGGCATTTTTCTGACGTAACACGCTCGCGAATGATCTTAACCTAGCTCGTCGTCGTCGTCGTCAAACACGGACGCACGATAAGAAACCAGATTTCACAAAGACAACTGTGTGCTGCGAACGACGAGTGACGCGAGCTCAACGCACGACGACGACGTCGCTTTTCTCGCGCGATCTCTCTCCACTTATTTCCTCTGTACGGGCGGACATATAAGAGATTCGATAACCGGACAACGTCGCCGCACGTAAACTCGATTGACATTCCTCCCCGCCGCGGAGATCCGGCAATCGCCTCCGCTGGATCCGGAATCCGAATTTTAAGATGGCGGCCGACGCCACAGAGTGCGGTTGCTTTTCGTATCGGCCGAAATGGCTGCAGGCCTACTCGTCGCTGAAATGGTTCGGCATCGCGCTCTGCTTCGTCTTCATCTCGTCGGACGGATTCGCCGGATACTTAATCGGATGCCTCACGACAATCGAAAAGCGATTCAAGTTATCGAGCAGCAAATCCGGGTTACTCATGTCGATCGGCATCGTCATGTACACGCTGTTCGTCATCTTCGCATCGCATTTCGGCCGACGCAACAAGCCGCGCACGATCGCCATCGGCATGTGCGTGTCTGCTCTCGGCATGTTCGTTACAGCACTGCCGCACTTCCTCTACGGTGGCGAGCCGACGGGAGACTCCGCAACGGTGTCGGCCGCGTCGTCGCACCGCGGATTCTCGTTGTTCGGATACGAGTCGTCGGCCAAGTTTTCGGACGAGATCTGTAATCCGCGTAACGGCACCACGAACCCGGACTGCGACAACGCCACCGATATGGTCTCCTACGTCATCTTGCT